CTAAGTTAAATTTGTTAGCAGTAAAATCAGGTGCAATTTCCACCATAACTAGTTTCTTTTTCAGTTTTTAACTATTCGCAGGAACACACAATGTGATGAGGAAAATTCGCGAAATTCAGTTGCGTAAGTGGGCCACATTCCAATTTTTATTTTAAGCTTGTTTCTTACGATTTAATTCGAAAAGTCGGAAGTGATCAGGAATATTTCCAAATTAAAAGAATGTTTCAGCCGATATTCTCAAGGCGTCATAATGCTGTACAAATTAAGCATTAAGCGAGATTAAGCATTTTGGAGTTCAATTTCCCACTAATCACTAAAAATCACTAAAAAGTCACATTATTCAGTTTATCTCAATTCTTCCGATTTTACGGATTTCTTATAAAATACCATTTAAGGCTTTTGTACGCTCTCACCTGGAGTACATTGTGTCTATTTGGAGACCATATGATCAACAAATATGGAAGGACTAAGTTCAAGTGTAACGAATATTTTACTAGCTCGTAATTTGCACAGATTAAAGCCGGGAGCATATCTTCGGGTGGTCTGGTGGTCAAACGGAAGTTTAAAATTTTTATATTAGGTATATGGGGCTAGGGAAAATATTGACCCGATTTTACACATTTTTGAGACAAGGCAGGGAGGGGTTGGCATACCTTGAAGACACTATTTGTGCAAAGTTTCGTACCGATACCTTATATACACTGAAGAGTGAATAAATCAGATGAAATTAATAATTGTTTTATAAGGGAGGTGTGTTATATGAGAATATAGGGCGATTTCTCTCGTAACATAAGAATGTTAAGGTAATATTCCAAATTCGGTTGTTACTGATTGAGTAGTTCCTGAGGTTTAATTGTCACCAAAAAGTGGGCAGTGCCACACAACGCCCCCTATCATCTTAATACTTCTGATGTATTATTTATTTGGTGAGCTATAGCGCTTTTAGCTGTTTTCAACATAACTGTTATTTCTTCCATTTTCCCAGATTGTGAGAAGATGTTGGAAGAACTTGTCTTCAGAAAGTTTGGTCGATTAATCTTAAGTGCTATTTGACATACATATACAGGTCGGTTGTAAAGTTTCTCCTTTTATTGTACTTTAAGCCCATTGGAGCGTGGACCACACCAACTTTATAGATTTTCGTTTAACGGCATCTTGTGGCCGCGTTTAACAGCCACGAATACGTGTACAAAGTTTATAAAAATACCTTTTCTTTCTCAAGTTGTATATAAATAACTTCGTATCTATACCGATTACTTTTAGGTGTTACAAACAAACGGCTAGGTGAACAAACATATTATACTATGGAGCAACATGTTGGGACAGTATAAAAATTAATGAAAAGAATTGAGAGAGTTCAAAACATTTTCCTTATATTAGCATTACATTTCATGAAAAAACTGATATGATGAATATTCCTCGTCGCCCGTATTGTGTTTAAGCTATTACTTGTCCAAGCTGCAGCTTTTCTTGCGGACGATGCCAAAAATATGCTTTACGATTCGATTGGTACCTGTTAATTGTCGTCTCATCTGACCATATAACCCTTTTCCAGTCCCCAATTGTTAAACCTTTTCGTCTCGGCAAAACTTAAGCCTAGTTTAAAATTTCGCTCCGATAAAGAAGGTTTCTTTTGCTTAACCGCAGCAACCATACCAATTTTATTTAATAAATAATAGGCATCATTTTTATCGCCGAATGGCACAATACTAATCAAAATATTCCCGTCTAATTTTTTTTAGACATATTCAATTGAGATATACCATACAAATATATAAATATATATACGTATGATATAAATTCAACCAAAGAAGTAGAATTTTAATAAAATGGGTGTATGAGGAAAGTTAAATCATACTTCAGGACAACCAAATTCTTTTGGTATAACGAACCCCAACCAATTTCAATTAGATTTTCAATAATTTTTGTTGCAGATTGATAAGTTATTTTCTTTTAAATAAGAAAGCTATATTCATCTACTCGAAAACCTGAGTCCACGAACAGAAATTTATGGTTGTAGTTTGAAGACAAACGCGCAAATTATTTTAATGCTCATTAACATAATTATTTTAAATTGTAATGAACACAATTTTTTCTATTTTTTATACTCTCGCAACTTGTTGCTACAGAGTATAATAGTTTTGTTCACCTAACGGCTGTTAATCGAGTTAAATATAGAGTTATATATATATAAATGAGAAGAGACGAGTTGAAATCCGGGTGACTGTCTGTCCGTCCGTCCGTGCAAGCTGTAACTTGAGTAAAAATTGAGATATCTTTATGAAACTTGGTACACATGTTGCTCCGCAGTAAGATACAAGATTGTTATTTGGTACACAGGATCACATTAAGGAGCATCTGTAGTTAAAATTTGTTTTTAAGTGGGCGTGGTCCCGCCCCTAATAGGTTTAATGTGCATATCTCCTAAACTGCTGAAGCTATAATAACAAAATTCACTTCGCCCACTTTTAGGTGAAAACCCATATCTCTGGATCCGCTTAACCGATTTCAACCAAATTCGGTACATAACATTATTTTCTTATTTTTATGTTATAGTGCGAAAATCGGACTACAACCACGCCTATTTCCCATATAACACCATTTTAAATACCTTTTGATTTGTTTCACTTTCCAGTATGCAAATCAAGCAACAATGATTGTATCGGGGTAAAACTTTGCGTAAATAATGCGTTTAAAGTATGCCACCTTGTGACCAAAAATTGTCTAAATCGAACCAAAACTGTTCAAGCCCCTAAGTACTAAATATGTGGACCCCAGTGCCTATAGTAGACTTTTTACCGAAAATATCGGTCAACATAGACCAAGGCGGCAAGATCCACAAAGAAATCTAAAACGAGTATACCATTTGACTTTGCGAGAGTATAAAATGTTCGATTACATCCGAACTTAGCCCTTCCTTACTTGTTTTATGTTCATTTCATATTTTCATGTTGAAAGTTGTGGACTAGCACTGCATCCTTCCGCAAATAACAATCGTGTTTCAGTATCCAACGTATGCCAACGACAGCTGTAATCCACTAGCCTTCCGCAAAGCGGTAATAATACATGGTATACACATATGTACATATGTATGTATGTATATGTATTTAATTCTACATAGACGCTGTAACCGAACTAATTGTACTTCAAACTGTAAACTATAACAAGCTCGAATGAGAGAAATCTTTTAGTAACTGACATTTATCGATAGTCGGTCAAAGTAAGACTATGTCAAAAGCTCTTAATTCATTCATCATTCAATAATTACAGTGTACATTTCTAGTGGAAAGTCGCAATATTGTACTATCTAAAGAAGACCTAAGCCTATCAAATACACAGAAAAATTAAAATATAAAACGTTACTTTAAATAGGTTTTTAACTGCTTCATATCCATCGTATTCTTTCGACCTGGTCTATAGCAAGGTTACAAATAATGTATTAAAAAAATAATTGAATTGACATTTGAATTAAAAGTTTTTAGACATACATGTACATACATGTGTATGAAAATAAATATGCACCATAAAAAGTTTTTCTTAAAAAAGCTATGTAACGTGCAGTCACTCAAAAGGCAACTAACACTCATACCAATTTTCAATTTCATTAATAGATACACATATGCAGATAAACGTAAAAAAAAATAATGTAAAGTGCTTCTCCTGCATTCACTGGATAGGAATTATTGAGCCAGCGAAGAACTTTTGTCGTGTCAGACAACTATTTCTATTTTAATCACACCGAACACAAACGAGGGATACATAGAAATCAAAGGTTTGCATATTTTTACATGCTTATGGTACATGCTAGAGTGTAGCCCTCTATTAATGGTGCACATAAATTTTAAATAAGAAGGATAAACATTGAGCTAGATTGCACTTCAAACAGTATATAATGTATATTCCAAACGGAATGTTAAAAAATTTCAATTTTAAATCATCTTTACGAAGGAGTAGTGAGAGTACGACCTTCTAAGGTCTTTCTCTCAATTTCTCCATAAATACTCACAATAAATTGCAATAATTTACATGTAACTTGTATGTAAACATTTAGTCATGCAACAATTCTTACTTCGTAGAAACCACTTGTATGTATGTTCGCTTAATTTTGTTTACATTTATTGTTCATATTACAAATCGAGGTCAATAATGTTGTAGGGGAAATGTGCTCTCATTTTAATTGAATGGCTTCTTCACAAATCGGCCTTTATAATCGATTCAAAAGTGGATATTTTTAACAAACTATCATTAGATAGTTATATGTAGTTTGTTAGTAGGAAAGTGTTAGTTCGATTATGCAAAAGTATGTTTGTGTGCATATTACTACTGAATAGGAATAATATTATACATACATATATATGTATAGGACCAAAAATGTATCTGTTAAGAAAGAATTTCACACATAAATCTTTTGCTCTCTTAAGTGCTTATTTAAAATCAAATTTGTTCTTCTATACACATGCACCAAAAAACAAAAAGCATCTAACTATCAGTCACAGAGTCACATTCACTTAACATATTTTTTAATGCAAAAGTGGAAACATGGTTCAATGGTTATTTTCCGAAAACAACAAAAATTATAAAGGAGTGACGGAAATTATCGGCTTTTTACATTTTCATTTTTCAACAATAACTATACATATATGCATTGGATTTACATCCGAAAGCTCTTAAAAATATGTATTACACAAACAATTTTAAAATAAAAATTTATATTTGTGCCCGGCGCTTTGTTTTTTCTTAGTTGACCCATTGTGTATGTATACGAAAAATTATATTCCTAATGTTACCAATAATTTTTTCTTGGTTCTTATTTGGGTTTCGGATCGTGGCATGATATCCTTTCACTATTGTGCAAACTTTATTTTAGGAAGAGAAGAATTTATAGTACTAATTCTGTCATGTATATAAAATTTAGTAAGACGTTTAGAAATTATTTAAAATACGTATACTAAACTCTTTAAACTAGTACATCGGCATGTATTTGTGTCAACTGATATTACCTTTATGGTGTGTTGGTGTCTTTCGTTATCGCTTTTCGTGTAGGTGTTCTTGATATTTTTAATTATTTATGATCAATAGCTACATCACGCTATTTTCCTTTCATTGAACATTCATGATATATATTGGGTATAATATATCCAAAATGTTAAGAAAAACTATCATTCAAATTTTATTTTTATACCATGGACACCTGTTCCTTTAATACGATATTTTATCACTAAGAAAACAAGGTTCAGTATTACAAACGTCTTGTAGGCATAACATATTTGTTACTTCTTGTTTGCTTGGACTTTGCACATATGTATGTTTCTTTCAGTGAATCCACCCTGTGTTTTAATTAATTTCATTCACCAGTTATTTACATATTCTTAATAAGTATCACCAAATGTAAAAAAAAAAATTATAATTTTAAAAAATGTTGTCTTGTTGCCCTCGACAACTTAAAAATTGAATTCTACTATATTGGTATACATTATTTCATTCGTAATTTATTTTAGCCACATTTTCAATGCACTTATCTTAAACTTCACGCATACAACCATATGAGCTCCATTATTTTTTGTTCCTTCATGCACTTTGGTTTCGGTACATTTTGCACCACCAACTTCTTATTACTTCAGCGAAGAAATGATTATTACTAAGAATTTACAGCAAGCATATAACACTATTGGCAAATTTTTTTTCTTCCTTCATAACTAAAGACGACTACTTTAATTATCTGTTAATTGAATTAATTATAATCGAAATACGCTTTAATTGATTAATTTATAACACATAACACAAGCGAAAACGAAAACGAAACACTGAAGTTAGTTTTTAAAATGCCGGACATACAAATTACAATTAGCCGAACAGAATAATGATAGTAAGTTTGTCACAGGCAACCCTGACACAGAGTTGCCTATTCCCATAAACGACATCCTCGTTCCGTTCCGATAACTTTCCATTGTTTGCAACATTTTCAGTTTTCATCAGTATTGCTGATGTAGGGTAAACGAAATATGAAATATTTAATGCCAAACATCATTATCTATAGTTCCTGTGTTTGGAAATCAAGCTAAATTGTTCATGTTTATCAAAAGTCCCCTAATGGAAGTAATGCCGAAACAACAATAAAATGCTTCTACCTATCTTGAGGTGAAATTTGTGACTAGATTTCTTAAAAAAGTATAAACATTTTTCAAGCAATTTACTGTTGTAACGTTTTATCAATCGATTGTAGCGATACAGGACAGTTACATTAAAACTCGATTTTTTGCAACAAAATATTATTTTTTCCAAATTGTTTGAAACACCCGAAAGGGAGTTTTGGTATTTAAAACTGAAAAGAAACATTTTTTGCATCCCTGCAGACGAAGATGTAAAACGAGCAGAAGTTGAAAATTCTACAAACTCGTAGAGTAATTACAGTTAGCAAAATTGTTTTATTTTTGTTGACTCAACTCTATTGTATATGGTGTAAAAGTTTTTAAAGAACTGTGAGGGACGTAAACGAAGTGCCCTATTATACCAGCAGGGAATAAAGTGGAACTGCTTCTTTGAGTTGCAAGGAAAAATATAATAAGCACTCTTTCAACCAATTGAGAATTAAGGACATCACATTTTTAACTGCTTAAAACATGTCAAATTTGCAACGAACCATTCTCAAAAATAGACTACCGCCTACAATACCTGGAGGGCGAATAGGAAGAAGGTAATCTATTTTTTGTTGTTCCTCGTCTATATATTTCACATTAGGCTATTACCAAACATATGTAAAAGTTGAAATTTGTTATAGCGACTCATTTAAAAAGTCTCGAATTCGGGATTTCAAGCCGGCACTCTGGAGTGAATTCTTTGCTGAAAAAGAAGACGTGGTCTTAGACGAGAATCGTACTTTCCGTATATATCGCACAAAAGCCCCACAGAAACCTGGGCCGATCCTACTTCTACTACACGGGGGTGGATATTCTGGTCTGACATGGTCGCATTTTTGCGTAAGTTAATGTTGTACATGTGATGAAACTTTTATACTAATAGGAATTATATTTGTTTAAGGTGGAAATAACTCGCATTATTCATTGTCAGTGTCTTGCAATCGATTTACGAGGTCATGGCGACACTAAGACAGAACTTGATGACGATCTTTCCTCAGATACACTTGCAAAGTATATATATATATAATATACAATAAAAAATGTATGTAAATATACTGTTCTTTGTAGGGATATAGGAGACCTAGTATTGCAGCTTTACCAAGAAGATGCTCCTCCCATCTACCTTGTTGGTCATTCAATGGGAGGCGCTATTGCTGTTCATTTTGCGCACAAGGCAATTATTCCAAGCATAATTGGTATAACTGTAATTGATGTAGTTGAGGGAACTGCTATGGAAGCTTTAGCTAGCATGCAAAGTTTTCTACGATCGCGTCCCACTCACTTTAAAAGCATTCCAAATGCTATAGAATGGTGTATTAGAAGTGGTCAAATAAGAAATGTAGAGAGCGCAAAAGTTTCAATGCCTGGTCAAATCATTAAGTAATTGAACTAATTGAAAATCGTTTGCTTAAACCGATATTAAATAAATAAATACCGTGTACATATTTTCAGTTGTTCAACGCAGCAGCTAGCTACCAACGAGCTACCATTGTCTGAAGATGAAATCGAGGACAGTGCTTCAACAAGTAACTTTACACATCCTTTCAGTATTTCCGAAGATGAAGAAATGGGCAACGATAATGGGGGTGATTCCGTCACTTCAGTTGTTAATACCGCACTCGGGGAAGAACATGATAGTAGCTCAGATTCATCAGACTTTAAAAAACCATTTATAGGACATGGTGAATCTCCGAAAAGGTACTTCTACATACATTCCTTGTAAAGAGATTGTGTGCAATTTTTCCATTTACAAAAGGTATACTTGGCGTATCGATCTATCAAAATCAGAAAAGTACTGGGTTGGTTGGTTTACCGGTTTAAGCGAAAAATTTTTAAATTTACGTGTTCCGAAACAACTATTACTGGCCAGCATTGATGGTCTGGACAAGGCGTTAACTGTTGGTCAAATGCAAGGTATGTACATACATACATATATATGTTGAATGAAAAAAGAGGTTAGTGTTATTATATTTTCAACAGGGCGTTTTCAAATGCAAGTGCTGGCGCGATGTGGACACGCTGTTCATGAAGATCGTCCACATGAAGTAGCGGAGGTTATCAGTGGCTATCTTATACGCAATCGTTTTGCAGAAGCAGTTGGCGAATTTCATTTTCATTTGCCATCATGTTAATTTTTACAGTGCCAATTAGCATTAAAGAAAAATTGGTTATGAAAAGAATGTAATCAAATACAAAGATGTAAATCCGAAAGTATATTTCACATACAAGTAGAGGAAGAGAAATATATGCGGAGAACTTAAATTTAAAGCATGTGCTACTAATAAAATTTAACAAATAAACTATTTATTGCAGTTAAACGATATTCTTTTTTACTGTTTTGCTTCCTTGTGTATTGATAACTTCCTACCTTTAATTTGTCCCATAACAGACAAATAAAATTTTTAGTGTTTAAATATTTTATATGAAACAAAGTGGTAAAAAAAAATCGGGGATTAAATTAACTGCTTACAATTACTTCGGAGATTGACATTTACCATGTATGACTAGACTTTTGTGGCTTAACAGCAAACATACATTTCCAATAAATTTCTTTAATATTTAGCAATATGTATATTTGAACAAAGGAGCGCTCAATAATTTTATATCTTGGTAAATTTAAATATGAAAAGGATTTAGTAATAACTAATGAAAAGTGCTTCTAAATTGGAGAATATAGTTATGTGTATATGAAAATAGATGTAATATTTAGATCAATTTTGATTTAAGGTAAGTTACTAGGAGTTTGGTGAAATTGTGTCTGAGCTTTCAACCAAGTTTACTGCACAAGTCAACCTTGCGCTAAAATACTAATTTTGTGTACAAAATGAAAGTTTGCACCTTTACTCCACGAAGCGAATACCACTCCTTTTAATTTGAATTTTCGTTTCAAGGGCCTTTATGTGGCGAAGTCGTTCTGCAATTTGTTCACGAACCTCATTCCTGAAGCGCTTGCCATCGCCTAATTCTTCCATTTCAGCCAACCAGTTTGCGCGTTCATTTATTTGATCTAAAACTATAAAAATGCGTACAATAAATATTTTTCAAATTTTTATGTTTTAGAAATTTACGTTCATCGATTATATTTTCTTCTGTGGCTTGGAAGTCCGTTCTGATGCGTGGCTTACGTTTTGCTTTCACTGACGTTTCTGCAAGTCGCATACCTGACATGGCCTCTTGCAGTAGTTTCTTCTCTTTTTCTGTAGGCATCCTATTTGTTGGTCTCGGACGGTAAGGGGGTAGCTTGTAGGCGTCACTAGCTAAAATCTGTTCAAGGCTCTTTCGTTTAGCAAGATGAGCACGTTGCAGAATATCAAGGGCACCAGCTTCAGGATCTTTTGTGTTAATAGGTGGAGGCTCAGGTTTAGGCAATGGCTCCCCATTTCGTAAGTGATAGTTGATTTTTTTCCGCATTAGCATTGACATTTTGGACTCAGCCATAAGAGCTAAGACATGATATATAAATAAGTGCACACTTAAAGTACTTATATAAGAACATCCTTTTGGTTATAAAAATACAAATAATTACGCTTAACAACCTTTCAATAAATCCGCAGTTTCTTTGCTGTACTCTATTTTAGGACAGTGAAAAATTCCTCCTTGGACAATGCGTTCACTTGGCCACAGAATAGCTTTATTGTCCGAACTTTGAATCCTTCCGTTATCCTGCACAGGACTCCCTGTGATTTTGTCCATACACCGAGTTTTTTCCATTTTTAAATATCAACGTACACAGTCTATTTAACAAATACAGATTTATAACAAACTACGAATGTGTATAAAAATTTAAATTTCGCAAATTGACATTTTTTTGAAATCATACTTATATTTTCAGTAGCTCAAATGAGGTGACAGTACATTACCTTATCCACAAAAACATGTCATGTGGATAATTCCACCAGTATAGATAATTCAACCAAACTACTGTTTGGAGAGTATGGTTCCATGGTAACACTCAGGTTCTGTATGCTAAAAGTACTGCGTAAAGTATTTATATTTGTTATTTTTGTGTGCTCACTATCAGCATAGACAGCGATATAAAAGAAGGAACGGAAAACACGAAAATTATCCAAATATACTTTATTTATGTGGATATTAGATATTAAATCTGTTTAAATTTGTTATTGTACTACACAAAGATACAAGATTCGTATGTCGTTAGTTTTTTTAATTTTTCTTATTCATCTAACATACAGCTTTATAAATAAATAAATCATTAACAAATTAACTAACATGATATACCTGACTGATTTTTTGTTTTGATTTTTCTTTGCTTTATTAGTTTTCTCAACACAAATTCTCAATATAGTTCTTAATTAACTAGAAGCTTTAGCATGTGTAATCGTCCCTTGCTCTGCATAACTTTACCATTGGCTTTTGCCTTCGAATGACAGGTGCAAATTCAAAACATATAATTTTTTAATGTTTTATAAAAATCTATGACATGCACTCAATAAGAAGTTTATCAAGGTATCGGCAGTTAGGGATTGAATAAATTGGTGCTAACGGAACAAATAATTATAAAATTTTACTATAGTGCGTACTCAGTGGCTCACAACTTTGTGCCCAAGTTTCTTCCAAAACAAAAAAAAACTCAAGTCAATTGGTTCTTATGCAGAGTGATTTCAGTTCCTACCAATAAATTTATTATGTGCTGGTTGGCGTAAACATTTGCGTCTGTAGCCAGACGAGTGTATTTATGTACACTTGTTGTTCAGTGATCTTCCCCATGCTCATGATTTTTCTAGTGTCACATACATTTAAAAGGCAAACATATATATGTACGTATATACAGTTACAAATATAAATACAATTACAATACAATATAAACAAATAAAATTGCTAAATAAATTGATTTTACAAATTAAATTATAAACAGCGGCCCGGGCCTTAAGAGCGGTGTGTCTCTATATATATAAATTTGGCCTAACTTGGGCAGCATTCATTAGCGTGAGGTTTAGCTCACCATTCATTGGATCATAAGGCTTATAACAGTATATATAATAATATATATATAAGGACAACTCTTAAGTTACTTCATTATGTCGATATGCTGGACAAGAAGTTTACAAATATTGCCGTAGGACTATATAATTTCAGCTTAACAATAGCTTTTTTTTAAATCTATTTGATATCTTACATACTACTGTCGTATAGCGAATATATGCACACATACCTAGTGTTAAAATCAAAGTTCAGCTTTGCACAGTGTTTATTAATAAGACAAAATATTCAAAGTGCATCGTGTCATCTAAAGTTGTCTAATATTTTAATATTTACCTTTTCTCTTTTAATTAAAATTAAATTCAGCAATTACATTCCGTACGAGAGACTTGCCTGAAGTTGATGAAACTCCTGTGTATTCAATTTGAATAAATGTCAACAATTGAGCGTCTATAGTGTTTATAAGCGTTTAATCGTTTATATCTTAGTACCAGAAAGTAATTTTAGTCAGTCTCATTGTCGCGATGCATTTTTTCCTAATTAGCTCTATTTTGGTTAATTTGGTAAATTGTAATTGAAACATTTACATTATTTCAACGATCACAACGAAAACATGGTGGACCATCATAATCATAAAATTCACCGAATTGTGACTTTTTTCGCTTTCCAGAGGTTCCATTTGATTTTTTTCTTGACTTCACAATGCGCATTCTAGAATAATGTGAAATGTTCCTCGAACTTTGAAAAATTTTCCTATATTGATGAAATACATAAATAAAACAAATAATTGCCGTCAATGAAGTTTAAAGAGCAAATAGCCAAAAAAAAAAAAATATTTTCACATAACTACATTTTAATTTTTATCTTATATGGTCGATTTGCTAATATTAATAAAAATTATAGTTTACCCCCGTCCAGGTTAGTAAGAGTCGAATTGAAAGCTATAATCCAAATATCTACAACAAATATCAAGTTTCAACCGAAATACAACAAATACAATATTAAGAGATGCACAATTTCATTTACAATTGCATATATAGTATTTTTAAATGAAGTACTCATCAAACTAGAATAAAATCTAAGAAATTCAGTTGATAGCTTGCTCGGTCATTTGCAAGCATAGTGTTTCCAATTGATCTAAACTATTAATGTCGTTCATGGCTACAGTAGCGGAGCTAGACGATGACGCTTTCATATGCACTTTATCCACTATTTGTAAATTCATGTTGGATAATAAAGGGATTGTTGTTGCGGGTCCTAATGGTGAATTTTGTTTACCGCTGTGAACCTCATTGAATGGCGTCGACATATTACTACAACTTTTCACAGTTTTTACACCACAACTACAAGTATTGCTACTATTTCTATTTACATCGCACAAACAATTTAACAAGTTGTTATTTCGACAGCTATTGCCAACGGCGGCTGCTGCTGCAGCAAGTAGCTGCAACTCTTGCTGTTGCTGTTGGCATAACAAGTTATTATTTAACATACTAGTGTTATTGTTTAATAAATTTGGCTGTTGTTGTGGTTGTTGGGGACCAATCATACCAGTAACACCAATTTCTTCACTACTAACCATTACCACTGCCGCCATTGTCTTTTGTGATTGCTGGGTCTGCTGTTGATGTTGCGATTGCGATAAGCTCTGTGGTTGCTGTGAAGGATCGGCCTTCCCGGTTACATTCGCTAGACTCGTCTTAAATGTTGAAGTTAAATTGGCATTAATATTGTTCTGGTTGCTAATGGCTGCAGTGATACTAGTTCGACGCAAGTGACCATCGCTTGATGGTGGCCCTGCGGGTAAAATTCCTTGACCGGGTTTAAAAACCATTTTTTGGGGTTGTTGAGGTCCACCTGACACTAATATTAAATTGTTGAGAGATCTTCGATGTTGCTGTTGTTGTTGTTGTTGCTGCTGTGGGGGCAAAGTAGGAAAGTGGCTATGTTGGGGCAAAATAGTATTTTGATCTTGCTGTTGTTGTGATAATTGTGAATGGTGATTGTGATGTGGTTGCTTGACCTGCTGTTGTTGACTGTTCATGAAGTTTGGATATGACGAACTTTTATATTGATGCTGTGCGCTACCGTTATTTCCACTGTTGCTGATGCCTACATTTCCGTAGTCACCCGGTTGTGTCTGGCTGCCATGGTGATGGTGCTGGTGCTGGTGCTGCTGATTTTGTGATATACTATTAGCGGTGAAGTTAGGCATGTCATTTGAATTTTTTCTGTGGTTAATGCGGTCATTACTTCCGTTCTTTATATCACATTTTCGAGATTTTCCACTCCATCTGAATGATTTATTTAAACATAAAAAAAATACATACGCCTGTGACAGTTGTAGAAAATTTAATGAATACTTACCTAGATTTATTTAAATTTCCGGAGCTTCCATTTTTGACGTGGTGTGCCTTGTGGCCAATAGCTATTTTATGTTTTGAGAGTTTAAATTTCAGTTCTTTCAGTTGATTTGAATGGTTCACAAAAGCCTCATTGTGTATCGAACGATCAAGTACCCACATTAAAACGTTGATATTTTCTTCATCTTGAGGTGCGTTAGTATCACGTTGTACCATCGAGCCAACTGTAAATATGTTGTTTTGGAGCGATTTCAGAATATAATAAACAAACTTACCTATATCCAAAACTTTCAAAAATCTATGAGCAACATTGTCTTCATTTGAGCCGCCATCAACAGATTCGATAGGTTTCATTGGCGAAAGTACCATGCTTGCTAAGTCCTCCACTACAGTTTGTATTTTTATTTGACCATTTACCAAATCCTGCTCCAATCTGCTCAGGTGATTAGTGCGTTCTTTCAGTTTTTCTATACATATTGATAATTTGTGCGATGCACCTTTGGTTACTCCCAAGCCTTGCAAAAATTCTTCAGTGATACAGAGCATATCTTCATATGTCATATTTTTGAATAGATCTATGTACTTATGTAAGCGCAAAGATTTCAACCACAATCCAATATTTGACATGCCCACATTTCGGCTTTGAAATTTTATATAACCTGGTTTAAAATCATCCAGACCCGTATCTGAACCACTATTAGCTAAACCCCCACGCTGGTGTTCTATGGAAAGTGAGAAGCTCCGCGGTTTATTTGCAAATTGCGCCAAGTTTTCATTTGAATTTGAGCAATTGTCGTTGACCGTAATTACGGAGGAATTCGAAGATGACGACGATGTGGACATCGTTTGCGTTGTAAGACTATTAGATCGGCGTGTCTTTAAAGCAGTCAATTTGCCATCCAAACTCCAGCGAGTCATATCCGTTTGCTCATAATTACTCATTGGCATTGAAGTGTAGGCCATTTGTGGCTGTAGCGACTGAATAAATAAAATAAATCGTTAATAGAAGTTTAAACATAGTAATTGAGAAAAGTGTATTACCTTCTGATTTGTATCATTCTTAATGGAAGATAAAGAGTCATTTATACATTGATCATCAACGTTTATAGATATATGCGGTTCAAAGTCGATGATTTCTGTGCCATTTTTTGAAAACGATGTATCGTGCTCGTCGTTGTTGGAATTACTATAACTATTATTCTCGCAAACTTTGCTCTCATTATGACCACTGCTACCCAATATATTTATAATTGGGTTGTTATTGTTATTAAAGAGGCCAGATATTACTGGATTTGGATTGGTATTTGTGGTGGCTACTGCTGCAGCTACACCATTCACTAATGAAGATTCCTTCGCATGTGTATCAACACCTATTGTCGCAATGCTCAAAGACAAACCCAATTTATTTTGACTAGATCCTAATTCGTTTAGATTAATACCATTAAAATTATCACAGAGTTGATCAGTAATGCTACTGTTGCGTCGATTTGTACAACTACTGCCGCTACTACTCGAACTTATTTCACTCAAATTATTCATACCACTGTTAGCAAATCCGCTGTCATTCCGCATGAAGTTGGTCCAATCAGGCAGAGAATTTGGTTGTGAAATAGGGTTTTGTTGAAGATTATTGTGATTCTTGCTTGGAGGAGCAATTGTTTGCCAATCAACATTTCGACTCTTTGCATATGGTGATATTCCAAGTCCTGGAGCAAAACTCCCAGAAGATGACATGGAATTATTGGATATGGATGACGAAGTAAGGGACGAAACAGATGAGACGGACGCATCCGAGCTGACACCCAAACTTTGATTTATGCTACTAGTGTTTCTTTTTTTTGGTTCCACCAACTTATCAGCAGCCATAAGATGATCCTCCAAGTGTCGCAACCAAACATTTAACGACCTGAAGAACATTAATTATAAAAAATATATAGAATATATAAGCATGTCTGATTTGCTAAATATTAATTAAATATTACCTTCGATCGTCGTTGCTTATAGCAGGATGTATAAGCATGTACGAGAATATTTGCTGAACCAATTCGGTAGGCACACGCTGGTGCATGGTGTCTCGCACGGTCGATGGAATTAGAGCCAAATAAATTAACTTGGCGTCATCATTTCCAGGTTTTAAAAGGGGTAACATGTTTAAAACCTCAACCAATATCTCCTTCTTTTTTTCGTACAATTTACGTTCATCGCAATTTGTAATTTGAAAATCAGAACCATAACACGGTATGGTGTCCTTGTCTAATGAACCCGAAGTCAGAGCATCCACTGCGTCGTTCAAATGCAACGTCTTGTAGGCGTTTAATAGTTTTTTCAAATACGAAGGATTGTTCGCATTCATGTCGATGAGAACGCTACTCAGATTAGTTTCTGAGCCTAAATTTTGTGTCAAAGCGTGATCAATGGCGTATTGTAAGAACTTTAAATTAGGATATCTCAAACGCTTCAGCAGAGCATACATAACAACGGTTCGTTCGCAATTATTCCAGCTTTCAAAAAAGCTCGTTACTGTTGTAACCTGTTCACCAAATGTTATTGGACTATTTCTGCTATAATCATTCCGTTTATGAATGTCGTCATTCGTAGCACACATATTATGGTCAATGCCGCTCTTTTCGGTAGTAATATATTTCATGATGGCTATTTGCTTCTATATATATTATTTTCTTGATATATTCTATTTAAAATCTCCTGCAAATTTCTAAATGAAGAAATTGTTGTGAAAATTAAATTAGTAAAATAGTATGAAGCGGCGGTAATAATTAGTATATTTAAATAAATTTCAAATCTAATGTTTAAGGCAAATTATATATATGTACATAAGTTTTATTGGATGATTGGATGGAATATTAGAGTTAGAAGAAGTAGAAAACATTTTGGTTTGTAGTTTAAAACTCTGTGATTTGTGAATTTTCTAAACACTGTCATTTAGGCGGGGTGGTAATTAACCGGCATTGACTGTGTCTCTTTTGTTCCTTAAAATTAACTTAAATTAGACTTTGGCATTGACTGTCTCTGTATTATGAGTAAGAAATTTTACTTCAATTTTTTTTACCGATTAAAATTAAAAATCAGTTCTAGGTGTTTTATAATTTATTTACATTGCATGTGGTGTTTTCTCAATAGTTAAAAATAAACTACCCTACACAGGACAGGACTTTTAAAATTTTCAACTTCTCAAAATAATCTTCTTGAAAATCCTTACATAGCATTGCATACTAATTAGAATTTTTTAATATTTTGATATAATTTTGTCAATTACAAATATATATTTTATAAGGTAATTATACAATATATTTTATATATATATATATGGTACTTTGATATACATAAGTACATCTATATATTATTTTATGTATAATTAAAAATTAAGAAAAACTGTAATAAAAACACAAACCGGAAGATAAAGATGAGGATTTAGTTTCAAAAGATGTACATACTTACATAAATTATTTGAAATAATGTTTAGATTTTAGGAGAATTAATTTCGCTTGGAAATTAAAGTAATTTGTCATTTAAAGTACTTTCGAAAATGGTGACGATTTCTTTTGTCACTAGTCACGACAGTTTGGTTTTTGCCCGCAAATTATGCTGTTTACACGACTATTTGGCAAATTTTATTAACACTTATCCTAACAATATTTGCATTTGCTATCGTTTGATTATCACTTAACATATGGAAGATTGCGAACAATCTACATTTAATACAAATCAACAGTTCTCATTTAAAATTATACAAAATTTTGCGTTTTCTGATTTTATTTTTTCAACATTGGAATGATATTGCGTAACTATAAGTAAGGCCTCTTTGAAATCGACTTAGTGTACGGTACTTTTGAATCAACGAGTTACCAAAAATGTTCTAAAATGGATTCTTTAGCATGCAGGTACTTAAAAGCTAATTTACATGATTCTCATAAGGCGTTGATTCAGTGTCGAAACATGATGTCCATCACAATTATTTTGCGGGTAGTCAGTTACTGTTAACTTTTATCTGGAGAGGAATTACAGTGTTTCCGAGGGGAATAGTATCATGCGATAAAAAAAAAACAGTACAAAGGAGAGCTGCGCGCGCAGTTAACTCCACTTCAATCTATACTAAATGCTTCTGTTGTTGGGGTTAATGCATAATTGGCAAAGTCTATTTACTTTATCATTTTACTCACCACTGTCGTTGTTGTTTGCCTTAGGAATTTGCTATCCGTTTTTCCATCTTCAAAGTTTTTTCAAGTTTCCTTATGATTTAATTATGAATATTATCTTTCTTTACGTTATGACTTAATACTTCTTTGTTAACATAAAATTTCAGTACAAAACGCACTCGGAGAAAACCTTGAATTTCATCGTGTTTTCTTTGCAATGTATTCCGTTTAATCCGCCCTGTCGTCAAATAGGCAGCATGTCTTTTGCTTTACAAAATAAACCTTTAATCAATCATTACCGCTAGAAACAAATGTCTAGATATTTCGTTTAACACTTGATTTATCCCAATTTCGAACTTCTTCTTTAAAAATCCTCAACATATTTAGATATTGCAATTATAGCTAAACTAATGAAACTTTTCCTTCGCACTCGTAGAAAGTTCAACAAAAAGACATCTACTAATTTGACATTAGTTCGCGTACTTGTGCAGAGTTGCATATTTATAGTGTTGACAGAGATCGTATATCATAATATAAATAATTTACGTTCTCTGCATTAACCAACTGAGTAAGAAAGGCATGAACGATCGCATGTACGTTTTGTTAATTAACATATAGGGAATTTTATGCGTGATACATTAAAAATAATTATTTATTAAATTGTTGTGAAAAGAGCAGTTTTACATATGAGTAAATATTGTGTATTACATTTAAATAGATATGTATCTATTAATTGTATAAATTGTGTAAATATTTTAATTGTTTTCCCATGTAACGTGAACATCGACTGACAGTGCTACCAATTTTATACGTTCTCAAGTTGTCAAGTATGGTAAATTTTCCACAAATTTACCTATACTGTAATCCACGATAAAACAGAATACACTCTTATCAAAACAATATGTACAACTAAAACGTTTAAAAGAATCCAACATGTGAAATTGTTTAAATGATGTTGAAGGGATTTGTAAAGAGTTTAAAAGAATCAGTTGTGATATATCAAAGTGTAATTCATTTAAAATATAAAATAGAAAATGTTTGTTACGTCTGATTCGGAAAAAAAGTGTTTCTTGGAGCATACCAAAGCTGCTAGAGAGGAGCGGGCATACGAAAAACGTCGGGAAGAGGCAGCTGTAAGAATACAAGCACAATGGAAAGGATACGTAATTCGTAGACAGTATTACAATAAGATACTGTAAATATATATGTTATAACTTTGATATCTATTAAATAAATACAATAATTTTCACGAATTTAGCTATGACTTTGATAATATATTCATAACGGAAAATAACGACTTGGACGTAGATCTTTTACCAGCAAATACTGTGTATCCGGTTGTTCGGCGCTTCCTCACATATTTTGAATGTAAAAATGGAACACCCCCCGTTGTGAAACCATCACGGGAGAAGTTTGAATGTTTATGTCGTTATTTAAACAAAGCCATGGAATCGGAATCACCAAAATTGTCGTACGCTGCTCTTTGTCTGCACAAAGATAAGAGGTGCGTAATAATTTATTTTAAATAAAATAATTTACATTGATAACTGCATTTTAGCTTGCCTTGGTTGGCACATATCAAATCATTATTGACCTTATGCTGTTTAATGCTGGGCGATATTAAACCAGGTAGATATAATAACCAAAGTTTTTAAATTGAAATGTAATTAAGGAAATTTATAGAAAATCATACCGACAGCATTTCCTTGGCTCTGTATTTGCATACTTTAATCGTTTTCACTTCACCAAAGTCGTGGGGTATTCTGCGCAATAAACAATTCGAAAAAATGCAACCAGCATTTCAGAAAATATGCTGCAATATTCAGGGAAAATTAGTACAAAATAATTTTTTCAAAACTATGCGCGTAAGTTTGAAAAATGTTATGCTATATTTCTTCTGTGATTTTCTTTTAAATATTAATAAAGTTATCTTTTAACAGACAATCCTATTAAAAGGCACAGCACGGGAGGATCTTTCCATTAAACCCGTTTCGCTTAAAGCTATAATGACGCTTTCCACCCGACCGCTTATCGATGGGAGCTTTAGTCGTAATTTGTTGACGTATTTTTTCGCGGAAATTTTATCCGTTCCAGCACTGGTGTTTCATTTGAATATTGTTACACCACAGTGTTTGGAAAATCTCACCAACATGCATGTCCTCAAGCGATTTGTTCAATCAGCAGAAGATTGTAATTGGTTTTCAGAATTTACAAACCATATGCCTGTAAGTTAATATGAATACAAAATTTGTCGCACTTTGTATTTAAATTTCGCTGTCTTAAGGGCACTAAATTGCTTGCATTGTTGGGAAATGTTGTAAATCTTTTTACAATCGAAAGCTTCATAGAAGCAAAGGAGCTGGCATATCCACTTTTCACGGTATTTATATGAAGTTTGTATGTTAATATTATAATAATACTTATGATATTTCTGAATAGAATGCAACCACTATACTTCTCGAAAATATTCCTAACACGGTATCAAGTAAAGGAGTATTCACGCAATGGCATGAACTACTTGGATGGCATACACCCTCGTTAGATTCAGCACAAAACCAAAATGTAGCACTGATTAAAAAACAATTTCATTTGTTATGGGGTCATCGATGTATCAAAGTTTTGTTGGCTGATTTGCTTAGGGATATTAATGCTACTTATGAACGCATAGAATTCCAGCCACCGGTACAAGCCTCCACAAGCAACATACTTCGTCGGGCGTTGGACCGCGGATCAGCTCGTGGCACTTTTATCAGAGGTAATAGAACGTGGCGTACACTCGATTGTACCGAAGTGGAGCAAGTGTCTCGGGTATGTGCCATGTTTTATGCGGCATTAAACACGCTTTCACAACTTCGCCTTGATATTTTAACAGGTAATAAAAAAAAAAAGAAATAAATAAATAATAATAATAATTTCCTGATTCTTTTTTGGTTAATATTGTGATATATTTTATAATATATACAATACATATACGTTTATATATATGAAAGTCCCTTTAAAATTGTGTTATTAATACATTTAATATTTTAAGGTATTTGTTACAATGATAATGTTTTGTACGATCTTTGGCTACTTCTCACATCACTGGGACCGAATTGTGGTATGAAGGAGTTTATGGAGTTATTAAAGCAAGACAACGTTTTACAAAAATCCCAGGTCACAATGCTTATGCTCTTTTGCGATAGTATGACCCATTATGTTACGTATGTAAAATATGAATTGAAATTACAAGAATTTAAATACATAATATGTGCATGTATGTTTTCTAGTATTTTAGATGAGTATGAAATGTATACAGAACAAAAGCCATTTCTCCTCAATGACTTCATCATGCTTACTTATTTTCTCAACAATATACTCTACAAACTTATCAACGAGAATTTACTTGGTAAGTATAGTATTATAATTTTTTTCTTTAATTTCAGTTAAATTTGCTAAGTAATTAATTGAAATCTTTAATAGGTACGAAAAATGTCACCCAATGTCCGGTATTTGTGTCTCTGCATACGTTGCTGTTATGTTTGTACCGACGTGATTGCCGCCGAGCATTTGCGCCAAATAATCACTGGCTAATTCCCGAAGTAAAACCCTCTGCGTTTATTAGTGATTTGGAGAAAGCCAAAAGGCACGCAGTGATTTTGTTACAGAAAATGCCTCATATCATACCCCATGAAGATCGTGTCAAATTGTTTCGGAAATTCGTGCAAAACGAAAAGGCTGTCATGGGTCTAACGGAGAGTGCGTGCGCATCACCACGATCTGCTTTAATCGTCGTTCATCGTGACCGAATTGTGGAGGATGGTTATCGACAGTTAGCTGCGCTTAGGCCTCATGCACTAAAAGTGAGTAATTATGAAATGAGTGAATTTCTATTTAATTTTGAAATAAATAACAAAACAACGTTTAGGGCGTGATTCGTGTGCGTTTTATTAATCAACAAGGTTTACACGAGGCTGGTATTGATCAAGACGGCGTTTTCAAAGAGTTTTTAGAGGAAACTATTAAGAAAGTATTTGATCCATCGCTGAATTTATTTAAAACAACCACAGATCAGCGCTTATATCCTTCGCCAATATCATATGTGCAGGACAATCATTTACAATTATTTGAGTTTGTGGGTCGAATGTTGGGAAAAGCAGTATATGAAGGTATAGTTGTGGATGTTCCATTCGCTTCCTTCTTTCTCTCCCAGCTCTTAGGACAAACACATCAGGCGTTGTACTCTTGCATGGATGAGCTGCCCTCATTAGACAATGAGCTCTATCGCAGTCTTACATTCATTAAGCACTATAAACAAGACGTGGCTGACTTGAATTTAACATTTTCGGTAGATCAAGATGTAATGGGAAAGATTGTTACACATGAATTACATCCAGGGGGAAAAGCTCGTGCTGTTACTGACAGCAATAAGTTGGTATATATACATTATATGGCCTATTTCCATATGAACACGCAAATACGGGAACAAACACAGGCTTTTAATCGTGGATTTCGTAGTATCGTCAATCCAGAATGGTTATCCCTATTTTCACCTCCGGAATTACAGCGGCTCATATCTGGCGATACTGTGCCACTAGATTTGCGAGATCTACGAAAACATACGCAGTATTATGGAGGATTTCATGATTCACACCGTGTTGTTGGTTGGTTATGGGATATCTTGGCTAAAGATTTTACGGAAGAAGAGCGCAAACTGTTTCTTAAGGTTCGATATTTTATATATAAATATGCATATGAATGATTACTGATCTTTTTATAGTTTGTAACTAGTTGTTCCAAACCACCTTTACTTGGATTTGCGAATCTCGAACCACCTTTTTCTATTCGTTGTGTTGAAGTTAGTGATGACGAAGATACTGGTGACACTATAGGTAGTGTTATACGTGGATTCTTCACCATACGTAAGAAAGACCCCCTCAATCGCTTACCGACATCATCAACCTGCTTTAATTTATTGAAGTTGCCAAACTACCAAAAGAAGTCCACGTTGCGCGACAAATTACGTTACGCCGTTAGCAGCAATACCGGATTTGAGTTGTCCTAAATTTATAAACTGAAGTTAACTTCTAAATTAAATATGCAACTAAACTGTATCTTCATAAATATTTACACCAATATAAATTGCATATATGTATGTAAGTATGCAATGATTTTGAAGAGCGCTTCGATTCGCTGCAATAATAAGATAAGGTTCAATTGAAATTTTTATTATATTCACCTTATGCGTGTATATGTATATATACTTGTAGTATCTGATAAAATTCAAAGGTCAACCTATAAGTTTTACTTTTTGAATAATATCTTGCTGAAACAATTCTTAATTCGATATGAATCCGGATCTGGATCCGCCGCAGTTACGTTATCCAAAGGTATAAGGAAGGGAAGAATTTTTACTCACACAAGGCGGAGATGTCCCTAGTTGGATGATCAACAGTTTGGCGGCAATTACTCAGTGAAATTTCGCTTTTGAAACTTATACCCGGTATTCAGATTTTATTTTCACAGTTGAGGAGTTGTTGTAACGAGTTTGAAAATTTTAGATAACTGTGATAAAATTTTTACATACTATTCGGTTTCTCTACACATACATATGTATGTATTGTATAATATTAATAAAACTTATGTATAAATAGTTAGTATTTAAAATGGCAAAATATCAATAAAACCATAAAAAGGTTAATAAAAAACATTTATTTGAAAGTTGGAGACTTTTTCCAAATAAACCCACCGTTGTCAAAAGTGCCATATTTTTTATACTCAAACAGAGGATAACTAATTTTAATTTCAAGAATGTTTACTGTTGAAGGTACTGTGAAATCGAATCACTTATCACTAAATCAGTTGGTATAATTCGGTTCTGCCCGTGGTTAGGATTTCATTTTAATGATTATAGATGTTTAAAGTTATTTTCAAGTATACCGTATATAAAGGATATCGGTACGTGGTTTTCATAAGTTTTGGCAACCCTGGTTATATTTAATGTAACCTTACTTAATTTTTATTGGCTGTTTAAAATTGTAAGTACGTTTATCTCTTTCCTCTAATAGTGTCCGCCATTGATTTGGAGGTTGTTCTTCGCATTAAATAACTTATAGTGACAGGTTATTCCTCAAAATTGGAAGTAAAATATAACTTTTTAATATATATATAATCATGAACATACATACATATGTATATAAATACGTAAACTAAAACCTCAAATCATTAATATATTTTAGTAAATGATACAACACGCGAAAAATACTAGTTTACAACTAGATTTATCTACAATATATAAATTTGAACCAGTTAGAAAAACCGAACTGAACTGAATTACTCTAAATATGTATTTTATTTAGGTTTTTCTGGAATCCACTGAAGGTTACACAAGTCGATTGTCCCATAATTAAACTATATTTGTGATTTATCTTTGAGACTAGTGGGCTTTGGTTGGTACACTTTCACGAAAACATACCAATTAAATAGAATCCTATGACTAGTTCGGCTTGAAGTTTATACAATAGGTGAGGCAGGATAGTTTAAAACTAGTTGATTTATTGTAGAGTTTTCCTCCGCATTTACAAAAATTATGTACATATATACATACATATGATGCAAATTAAAAGTCAATATTATGTCGCTATTTCTACCCTCTGATTTAATATCTATAAAGCACATCCAAATATATTAAGTTATGTCGTAGTCAGAACAAGTTTCCAAATAATGTTACTGAGTTTTCAGAACGCCAAACAGCAATAATGTATTGGAGGCATAACCGGCGGAAAATTCATCACTAGCAACGTTATATATACATATGTGCAAAATGTATATAAGTATATGTACACATTAACATTTTTACCTCTCTTGATACGGAAGTGGCGTACAAAACAAGTTTGCACACATAGCCATATAACTATGTATATATACACATAAGCAAATATATACACATACATGTACATATATACACGTACATGCCTCGTACTGCATGCGCGCATACGTAAGGTGAGTATAAATAGTGTTTGAATGCATGCTTATCAGCAGATCAGAGAATGCCGCATCTTAAGTGATGGCGCCAAAGTCAGTAGCGAGACTCAATTGTAGTGTCATTGTTTGTCGATTTTTCTGTCCATTGCATGTTGTTTCGATGCTTTTTGGTGACTCTTCATTCGCGTATCAGCGTTGCCATAACTATTACGATATTAAAAAATAACAAATCATTGTATGTATGGCAGTAGTAATCAAGGGTTTGATGCATTTATAAAAATATAGATTTTTAGAGTTACATGCATATGTACATATATTATAAATATGCAGTGGAGCAGTTGCACAAGTTGTTCAATCTTTCAACTCTCTATGTTTTCGCTACTGTTCTACGTAGGCACTGCATTTGGCTAATTGCTTTTGCAATTTTTTCAAAGTAGTGAGTAGACAATTAACTTTCGGCGGGTCGAGAATTCATTTGTATACGTCTAAGATGAGAAAGGTGCCTACTTTGTCGGATACCAAAATCATCTATCATAGGCGGTAGCGCCAGTTAACCTATGGAAGCAGAAGGTGCGATTCTCTTATAATGCTCAGTGTATTTTTAATAGACGGAGACACGCCAAGTAAGAGAGATAACATACCAAGATATTCAGATTCTCTTTCCTGTCTCCGTCATATTTGTAAGACAATTCCATGACGAACACCGCCGTAATAGCGCCGCATCTCCACAGGCAATGTACATTGCTAACCATCTGTCGAATACATTGCTTTTGAGGTTGGCAATGTTCTTGTGTGCGCATTTGCTATCATGAAATATTCATTCTCGAAATCGCGGTGGGTAGGTATGTTCGAGCTGATATAGCGTATGTTTGTATGAGGATTTGTTTTTCCTACAAATGTATTTTTTGGAAAAATAAGATTTCATATTTTATGACTTTAATAATTGTTGCATAAAGTTTATTTTCGAATTCATCACATTGATGATTGATATTTAGATATGCTAACAATTATCATTAAAATATTAACTATACATATACTCGTACAGAAGAAAAAGAACTACTAGCCTCAATGTTTTTTTCTCAAGTTGGTACATCTAATGTGTTCTCAACACACGCAAAGTTACATTCATTCAAAGTCATTCTGTCAATTAATTCTTTGTTTACAAGCCATTTGGAGTTGACGTGTCAGAGTATTTTTTTAATATAGAAAAAATTTAATATCGCGCAGTGACTAGATTCTTTGTTTTAAAAAGGTTTGAAATCAAAGGAAATTTATGAACAATGTTAGAAGTGTATATGGAGTCCTCACCTTCAAAACGCACCGTTGAATTTTGGGCTGGTGAATTTAAACGTGATCGTACTAGTCTTGAAGACGATCCAAAAAGCGCAACCATACTAGAAATCATTAAGCAAGTTCATAATATTGTTAGTGAATATCCAAGTTTGACTAAGCGTGTAATTGCTAATGCCATAGGCATTTCAGACGAGCGAGTACTTCATATTTTACGTGGAGAATTACATATGAAAAAGCTGGTTGGAGAGTTAGTGCCGCACACGTTAACAATTCAACAAAAATTGGATCGAGAACAGTTTTCTCAGCATAATTTGGAGTGTTTTAAGCAAAATAAAATCGATTTCTTCCGTCGTTATTTAACTATGAATGAGACTTGGATCTAGCACCATGATCCTGAATTGAAAAAGGAACGTTTACAGTGGACTGAAGCTGGTTGTTCCGAAGGACCATAGACGAATATTTTGCAGAGCTTCCGGAAAGTTATTATAGGGATGGCATAAAATTATTGGAGGATCTTTGGAATAAGTGTATTGAAGTTAAGGGAGATTATATTGAATAAAAAAATGTATTTCGTACCAAAAACAGTATTTTGCCATTTCGAGCGCAGAAACTTTTCAACCAAATTGTACATATGTATGTATTTAATTACTATTTTTTATGTTCTGTTAAAATTTATGTTTTGAATATTACTTTGCAAAATTGCAGTTTACGCAACAAAATATAAAACATCAGCATTTGATCTTTGTTGGTATCACGCCACCGAAGCTATACATGTACATACATGCTGCCTCTTCAAAATTTGTGTGCAAATAAAAACAGCTCTGTCAAACTACCACAATGACAGTTCATTGCTAGTAATGTATGGCATGAAATATATTTAGGCATCAATTGCTAAACATTAGCAATGTGTAGTCTCCATTGGTATTGGATATTGCTAGCAATTCAGATTTTTAGCAATCTTTAATTGCCTGCCGAAATGACCCCTACGATAATTTGACGAGTTTCGACATTCTTAAATAATTATTCTTTTCGATTTTGTTACTTTGTTATGTTCTTAAAAAAACGTTAGGTTAATCAATGAAAAGCTTTGCAAAAAGTTGTCTTCGAGTCCTATCCGTTGAGCGATGCAAAATAGGTTGAACAGGATCCTCTTTGAATAGTATATTCTATTCCGAAGTACAAAACCGGTTAATTATTTATTATTGAATTTGTTAATTATTATTGGATATTTTGGCAACTGTCGCACGGCGAAATTTATATCGTAGTGCCTAAAACTTTCAGTGTACAAATGCATACATAAAGTCACTTGTACTGTCTTTTAAAGATTTCAAATTTAGTACGCAAGTGTACTTACTGGCATGTACACCATATACTTATATATGTATACTTGTATACATAAATAGGTACACATGAATGTGCATTGCCTCAGCATAAGTTGTTGGCTCTCGGGCCGGGTTGCCGACGAGACCATTCAAACGATAACAAACAAACCAATCAGCACAAAAAAAGTCGTGTAATAGCTTTATGCAGCTCCCGAAACGCTTATTGTTGAACCTACAATTTAGACAATCGCAACTGACATTGCTAAAACCTAATTGTTTAGAATAAAATGTTTTTAAGTATGTCGGTCTATAACAGTACGATAGTAAATAAATCTATTGTACTAAATGTAGTGGATATTGTAATTCTGAGAGGTATTAGCTTAGAAACTGAAGTGGATACTTGGTGACAATAGCCTGGTGGCGAATGAAACGTTGTATTTAAGAGGCGGCTATGCAAATCCGTAATTTATTCTAATAGCAAAACAATTGGGAAGGTAATTACTGGGATGTAATTATTTGGTTCTTCGGGAGAACAATAAAGACAATTAGAGGGTCACGAATTACGCCGACTCGGCTAACCGCAAAATCACAATACACGCATCTCTTTTCATTGGTAAGGGACTAACAATGCAACCACTTGTGGGTCTTTCATTGCTTACAAAAGGTCTTTAAAAATAATTGTATGTTAAGAAAGTAAAGCTATGCTGTGGAAAACCTCGAGTATACAAAGCCGACCATTCAACACAATTTTCGGATTTTTTATATAAGAATCCGAGGATTTTACTCGCAAATGTTTCGTTGCTTCTGTTTTAAACTCGAAAATATTCGCAAGTATTCGTATTCTGATGATAAGCTTCAACCCTAGATCCCTAGAGAGGTTGGTTAATTATTTGAACGCGGGGCTGAGCTGCTCCTCCATATTTCCATGGCCCTTGAATTACTATGTCGACCAGGTTAGCGGGTGTGAACCTGGTTGCAATAACAGTCATTTTCACATAATGCAAATAAACGCGGGCTATTGGTCGCCCATACGCCGTCGGTGTCAGTTGCCCGAGTAAATAAGAAAATCACTAAAATTGATAATCGGAAACCTTAACAGCAGAGACTATCCGATATTTCAGATGTTTAGAATGCTCGTATTATACAGTTTCCAAAAATATATTCATTAATACCTCCTTTAAGAAGTTTTTCCCCTTTCTCTAATCATCAACTTCTCTTTTATTGGCATCTCTAATTTAGGAGCAATTAATGTTAATAAGTAACATAAAAAATAAAATAAAAAAATTAAACAATCAAAGAACAACAGCAGCAGCATTTGCCAACTGACAACAGCAATAACAAATGCGGTAAATGCCACACCAACACCGCGTTACGTTTGACATCTTCAACTGTCAAATGTATATACTTGTAGTAAATCGTCGAAGGTTTAAGAACAATAACAAACACCACGAAATCGTCTGCCGCGTTGTTATTAGACTACCTAGTGGACCGGCGTTTATGCAATTGGATATGACTTGTCAAGGCTCCAAGTAATGGCCAATTTCATGCATTATAAAATTTCATGTTTGTTTTTCTTTCTTGTTCACGGTGCCTTTTCTTTTAGTGTTTGTTTGTGTTGGTCCTCCTACAACTCATTTTACGTCGCCATCGTTGTGGTATGCTCAGACGTCGCAGATTGCAACCGTCTGTATTAGTCGCATACTTTCCAAATACTTACATACATATGTATGTATGTGCATACTGATTTAGCGTACATACAATATGTGTGCAGTTAGTGCCGTTTGTGCCGTTTCAGACAGGGATGCAAAAGAGTCTGATCTTTTTCAAATTTTCTTTTGGTGTCGCTCTGGGCATTCACACGGTCAAAAAGAGTCCAGCAACTCGAGTCTAGTTTTTCTGCATTCCTTTTCACAAAATGTTCGTAAATATTTGTGCGGTTCGACTGCGCAACACCGCGCAACACTGCATGCTGCGTATTTCATTTGTATGTTGAGATGATGGTTACACATTTTGCTTGCAATGAATTACCATGAATATGGTAGAACAATATGCATAATACAAGTACCTACCCGCTAAATAGTTTCAAAAAAATACTAAAAACGGGAATTCCCTAATCCACAAGAATGTATTGAATATCCGCAACTAATATTTTCAAGGCCAAATTTATAATAGCAATTTCCTAATCTTTAAGTATTAAAAACTCATAATTTCTTTACTCCGTATTAAAAATTCATAATTTCTTTACTCCATAATCTATATCTTAATTTTCTCCTTATTTACAATTTGTCATAATATTTCTATTATTCTATGCATACGTATTTGCATATTACATACAAAAATAGATAACAGAACTCAAATTTGCGATCGAATTTATTTGAAACCGAGCGCTCTTGCAACCATTCAAAGAATTTGAAAGTGAAAAGGAATGCTGAAAAGGGTAGCAGCGAGCTGTTACGAACAAGAACACAAAGCGTGCCACCCGAACACGAGTGGCACGGTCCCTTCGTCTTTCCTCGTCATCCCCTCACCCACTATAAACTGGTATGAGACTCTTTTGCGTCCCTGTCTGAAACGGCACTTATTTATTTATTTTTTATTGTATCCTATGCAGCAAACGAGAGGCGGTTCTGCATGTCATCGTAAAGTTGGTTTGAGGCTTCGTCGGCTTCCTGCCTCCGTCTGGACCGGCGCACACCAAACAGCTAATTTACTTTTCACCAATAATTTTCTTTTGATATTTTTATGTATGCACATACACACTGTGATAAGTTCCTTTTGTTGTTCTGTGATATGTAAATACATATATATAGTACATACACATACATACAAACATGATCACATATTGTGTGTGTTTGGACTTACACGCTAGATCGTTTATACCTATAGCATTTATTATTTCTCTCTTGGTGGCTCCTGGTTGGAATTATATATATGTATATATATATATATATATGTGTGTATTTCTTTGGTTTAATATATTATTGCCTATTTTACCCCTAGAGATCGCTTAAGCGGTCTTCCTAAGGCTGATAGAAATCATTTTATCTCGGTGGAAGGCACTATTAGGGGTTGTAACCGCATTTTAGAGTAATATAGTACATACATATCTATGTACACCTGACTAATTAGGAGAACCCTTAATGACGCTAATGATGATGTTCAACTTGTTGACATGGCGTGTTAAGTGTATTTATTCATAAATTAATATGAGATTTTATGTATTACCAATGATGTCTTCATTTTTGAAGTTAGACACACACATACCATACATACATAGATTGCAAAACATGTGGGTATAAATATTATTTGTATACTGAAATGTTTTTCTTTATAAATCTCTGTCATACATGAAAATTTAACGAATGAAGGAAATAAGATTAATATATATTCTTATCTCAATATAATTATATTCAAAACCTTGTAATGTGTATTTTACTTCTAATATTCAAAGAGACGCCAGCGAATGTCTGATAATCCACGACATATGTTCTTAAGTTATTAATATTTCTTTATTTAATTGTGTATTTAGTGTACATATGAACCTACCTCTATATAAAAGCTTTGAGCAGCCTTCGAATGATAGATGAATTTTATTTATCGAAGACGATGATAGCATTCTACTTTTGATACTTACTGATGAGATGATAAGTAAAATTTATACACATATTTTAGTTGTACTTAGTTTATTTATATAATGTTTATACATATGTATGTTGTATTGTACTTACATGTGCAATTACACGGTTACATACTTGTACATGAGTTTTAATATTCTAGCATGTACGCGGTGTGCGTTTGTATATACCATATGTTTGTATGTACATGTATGTATATTAAATAGAACTGTACAATACTATAATTAAAACCATAAGTCAGCTGGCAGCTAGCTGCTGCCTCCTAAAATAGCAGAGATGCTAAAACCTTTCCTTTTTGGTCGCGAATGACTCATTAAGCTCTCCAACTGTAGTATCTGTGCATCATTCGATATCAATGTGGCATTCTTTTTACCTTCGTCATTGTCAACGGTTGACGCAGTGACGTTCTCTTCGTCGGGTACTAGCGAGCGGCATAAAATTTCGTTAGCAGCCGTAGGTATCAATGAATCGATATACTCCAGATGTGAGCCCTCGGCTGTTGTTGGCATCGGGATGGACAAAGCTTGATCGCCGATAGTTGAATGAGGTGGGTGCATATGTTGAACGTAAATGGGCTGAGATCGGCCAAAGTAGGTGCAAGCTAAGTCGACCAATGAAGGTCGGAGCATTGTTTGCATGTTTTGCTGCAAATGATGGAAAATAAATGACGATTGACCACCATTGTCGAAAGCAGACACGACAGTCTTATCCGGTAGTTGTGTTAATAATGCCTGTTGTGAGTTGGTCTCCTCAGTAACGACGGAAAAAGGTTCACGCTCGCTACTCACATGCGCATTAATGATCATCTCTTCGAGCGCCGTCGATGCTATCGAGCCGGTCGACTTATTTGATCTCAAGCGCTTTACTCGTGGTCCGCCACCATCGACGTCGGCATCCGCAACAATGTCAACGTCCACGAAGTCATTTTCGCCGTTGTTCGGAATCGTCGTCTTATCTGAACAAATTGATGATCCCGACTCGCTAGTTAGCGGCACGGCTGAAATCGTTGGCGACACAACGTTGCGCTGATTGTGTGAATGTGTTTGAGGTTGCGTTTGTAATGGTCTTATTCCGTATTGGCGTCCAGCTTGTTGTTGCTGTTGGTCGGAGTCCTCATCGAATGGCGATGAAGACATTTTACGTTTACTTCGAGATTGGCCAGTTTCGCGAAAGCCCTTCGCGAACGGATTATTATCTATCTTTAATTTAGTGATGCGATCATTCTGCAATATAAAAAGTGAAAATATAAATAATGAGTTGACTATCAAATTTGAATATATTTATACGAGTATGTATATATCTACATTTAAAGATTAATAAATTTAAACGTAAGAACACTTATTTACATAGCTTAGATAAGTAAATAGGTATAAATTTAATTATAGTATATTGTTGAGCACCAATATATATATATCGATGCTCTATCTTAACGTAGAAACCACGTAGTTTAATTTTTAATTAGCTAACGTTGTAATTATATAGTGCTGCCGATGGCTTCAATCTGCCTATAAAAGAAGTTATCGATTGTGCACAAACTGCAACAAAAGGTCAGCGGACAGCCTGATTTTTTAAGGTTATAAAATAAATGCTTTTGTACAAGCACATATGTATGTATACATATATACAAGTATATAACAAAAACATATTTCTTTAACTAAATACACGATTAGAATCTTGCAAAGGGCATACGTTTACAAAAATGGTGAAATGGTCGAAATGTAGCATGACATAACAGTTTAGGAAATAAAGTGGACATTGAATTGGTTAATTAGGTGTGTTCAGACTGGCGCCAAAGGAGTTGTGAACAAAAACACAGCAAGTGATCAAATTAGCCCATTCAAATATCGGAGTAGACAAAAACTCTTCAGGAGACTGGAAGCACTATGCACATTTTTAGGTTGGTAGTAGGCGTTACATGCTAATTTGATCTAGGTGCACATTATCGTACGTAACTGTTTGAGTATACACACACACACACGCCTGTATAGGCTTATATGTACATACATACATATATACAAAAGTATGTGTGCTCAATCTTCACATTTTTAAAAACTAGTCTCCAAAGACTGAACAGGAAGACGTTGCTTTTTGCCCGTTTATTTTTCAATGAACATTTGTAATATTTTACAAACTAGTTAGAATACTATATAATAATAGTTTTTTTATATCTCTCCACATTTTAAAATTTAAGTTGCCATATTGAAATTGATGGGTGCTCTATATTGGCACATACAAGAACATAAGACATGTTGGATTCGCTGACAGCCACTGATAATTCCTGAGCTGTTATAAGCCAATGTTTCATCCTCCGTTTTGCCCCTTTTGAGTTTTGGTTGCCGATACACATATGCATGTAATATAATATATGTATATGTATAAAAGCCACTAACCTGATATGCTGTTACGGCAACAAACTCCGTTTCCGAGAATATGAAGGCTTGTTGAGGAGCCCATGGAATTTGCGTTAAGTCTGCAGTCCGTATTACATGAATTCGTGGTTGATATTTATGCATACTGGCTAAAACAATCTGCGAACAAATAATTAAAACAATTACAAGGTTTTCAATAGTAAATGAGTTAATATTTTGATTGAATTGTGAAGAGGTTACAATTTTATTGGTCGTTCTACTTATATCCATAAATATTAATATTACGTACATTAATAACAATATGAAATACATACGTGTCCATTACTATCCAGTGTGTTATTGGTGAGCTTAACTTTATTAAATAGGATAGGTTGCGCCTGCCAATGGGCCCCAGACGCTGGGCTATCCGGATGCAAATACATTCTTTGTGGACTTTGTGGTTCCGCACCTCCGGCAGGCATCCATTGCGATCCGGAGAATTTATAACGGCAATCACCTACTGGTACCATTTCCAACAAAACACAGTAATTAGATTCATCCTCCAGGCCGGAAAGCGAAAGACGCATAGACGGAAACATACGTCTACATAAAAACAAAATAACATACATTTGTATATATACAGTTGCAGGTATATATGTACTTGTATGTATGTACAATAAACAACACCTGAGTTAAAAATCGCCCGATTGGGCGTATCAAATATTTACTTGAAACAATTGTTATTAACTTATGCATCTGATGGACGCACATTCATTCTAAAAATGAAAAGGATCAAGGTGTACACTGTACACATACGTATGTATGTATGTACATAAATACATTCAAAAATATCATTCACACAATTTTGTATCCATCTCTACTTATAGCTATGTAGCGCCTATAGCTTTTAACAACAATAGGGATGCATCGTGTGGTCAGCAGGTGGCCAAGCATATGGCGCCAGTTATGATTCGGTATTCCAAGTGCCCTCTCGTAAATTGATTTGTGTGTCACAGCGTACAAGGCGACAACGTATACATTTATTTATATTATAAATACATATAGGTAAATGTGTGTGAGTACACCAATATAATATATATGTATGTATATACTAGACTTCACGATGATTAATTATGAACTTTGTTCCTTTGGATATTATGTATGCTAAATGTTAAAATTGATTTTCGGACAAAAACCTACACAAATTAAAGCGGAGTGTGAACATACCATATCCATACGTTCATGCCGACGCATGTATCTACATATGTACGAGCATGCATGTATGTATATTGGTGAAAACGTAAACCTTCTTGTGATTTTCATTTTTGTGGTCTTAAGGAGCAAGTATCTATACCAGATCGTGGCCATCACATGTCATACGGCGGACAGGTATCGATTACACAGTTTGGTACTACCTACTGACAACTGGCGCCCAACAATTAAAAATTCAAATAACAGCAATAAAAGCTATTGCTGCACACCATTACCACTCATTTGAAACTGTTCACTTTTGCTGCTCACTTTTGTATATACATGTACACAAGTGAGTGGATGGAGATTCCTCCACTCGCTACAACTCATAAATAATTCATACTAACCGAATACAGCTCCCTATTGCAGGTTTGTGTTGTTTTCTTTCGTTGCGACGATTGTGTGAGAAAAAAGAGCTCGGAGGTTTTGGGCAACTTCAAATTATGCTAATTCTTGAATAGCTACCAGAAACACAGTTAAGCCGTCGGCACGGGAGCTACACCGCTGAAAGTGACCAAAATTGAATGGACCGAAGTATCTTTGATAGTACGATGTCTGCTACTGTCCGGCTCTTCTCTTTCTGTTTAGCTCTACTCGGTCGGTAAAAGCGTTGCAGTCGCTTGCTTATCGGCTGTCCGATCAAAATGCTTGTTGAAAGTGTGAAATTGCTAGTAGTATTTGTCGGGCAATGGATGACACGCTGCGGACATTGTCAACGTATCATTTTTTAGATGTACGACAGAAGGTTCAAGTGGCACATTACTGGCGCCGAAGTCACAAATGGTTGATGACAAAAAAAAATGGTCTACTGAACTCATACAGGCCGATGGGCAATTTAATTACGTTAAATGTACATTTCAACCTTAAGTTTTTTGAATACTTTTTAAATGTAAAAAACAGGTGTCAATAGAAGACTAGCCTTTTGATAACTGAAATTCAATTCTCGGTTCTTATCTAGAAAAAGTATCAATGACAGTAAATCGGGCTAGTCATAAGACAAACTGTGTTTCAGGGGCGATGGGCACTATTTAAATAAAAACACGCTTACATACATATGTATATATGTACATATGCATTTATATTTCTGCATTCGTTTGATTAGCCGCTATAAACATTCAAATGTATTAGTATGGAACCATTCCAGGCAGTTCGGGGTCAAGCTCTTCTTCATCTATCTAGGTATATGGTCCTTATGTACATTCATACCATCATACGATTTCAAATATTTTGCGTGTATTTTGGGTTATACTAGGGAATGTTCGCGTCATTTATTTATTTGTGAGAAATTACTGTCGCGCCGTTGCTGTCGCCGTTGCTGGCATTACCTACGTAAACACATCATAGGCGCCATTCTTTGATGACCACTTAACAGCATTTTTGACTAATGTCGTCGCGCCGTTGAGGATCGCAAAGTGCGTCTACTTCTGGCGGCGTGCGATGCATTCACAGTCTAGTTCCAAGACGAAGTGTTAAGCCGGCATCTACACTTGTTAAAGTCGAACAAATAAATATGGTACATTTGTGCTGATATGTTTATATGTGCATATGTTTAGGTAGAAGGTAAAATACACATACATATGTTAGCTGTTTTTGCCGATTGGTCGACGTACATACATACAAGAATAATATGTATGGGCATAAGATGCACATATGGAGCTGCACCTCTATGCATGGGATGTATTTTGATATGTAAATAATTTAGCGTTTGAAGTGCTTCTTACCTGCCACTTTTCGTTATTATCATTTCGGTGCCAATTTGATGAAACTGTTTCCAAAGCTGATCGTTTTGTAACTTTACCTCTGCGTTCGGTAAAGAAATTCTGGGTGGCATTACCACGTGTCGAGGAATTGGTATGGGTAGCATAGGTGGAAATGGATCTGTTATAATGAATGAAACTATGATTTAATGAGTTCATGTGTACAAATATACGAATATGCATATGACGGACAACATACAGTAAAAAAAGAGTAATTTTAAATGAAATCAAATGAAATGAAATTATATTAAAGCAAGTAAGGAAGAGCTAAGTTCGGATGTACCCGAACATTTTATACTCTCGCAAAGTCAAATGGTATGCTCGTTTGAGATTTCTTTGTGGATTGACTGATATTTTCGGTAGAAGGTCTACTATAGGCAAAGGGGTCCACATATTTAGTACTTAGGGGCTTGAACAGTTTTGGTTTGATTTAGACAATTTTTGGTCAAAAGGTGGCATACTTTAAACGTATTATTCGCGCAAAGTTTTACCCCGATATAATCATTGTTGTTTGATATGCAAAGTGGAAAGTGAAAGAATCAGATAAGAAATCGGTTAAGCAGATCCCAAGATATGGGTTTTTACCTAAAAAAGGGCGGTGCCACGCCCACTGACTAATTTGTTCCTATAAAGTCATCTCATACCATCCCAGAGATAAAATTTAATGTCTCTGGCGTGTTTACTGCTTGGTTTATCGCGCTTTTAGTATTTTTTAACAGTACCGTTATATGGGGAGTGGGCGGGCTTGTCACCCGATTGTCACCCATTTTCACACCGTCAATAGAGGTGCTAAATACATTTTCTCCCAGTGAATTTGGTTATTATAGCTTTAGTGGTTTAGGAGATATGCACATTAAACTTATTAGGGGCGGGACCACGCACACTTTAAAAAAAAAAAGTAACTGCAGATGCCCCTCCCTAATGTGATCCTTTGTACCAAATAACAGTCTTGTATCTTATTGCGGAGCTTAGTTATGGCAATTTATTTGTTTTTGATTAATGGCATTTTGTGGGCGTGGCAGTGATCCGATTACGCCCATCTGCAATACCAACCGTCTTACGGTACCAAGAAACATGTGTACGAAGTTTCATGAAGATATCTCAAGTTTTACTCAAGTTACAGCTTACACGGACGGACGGACAGACAGTCACCCGGATTTCAACTCCTCTCTTCATCCTGATCATTTATATATATATTTAAACCTATATCTAACTCGAATAAACTAAAACTATTGTACTCTGTAGCAACGAGTTGCGAGAGTATAATAAGGTAATTATATAATATAATATATCTTATGAAATGTAAAGAAATACTTCAAATTTGTTCTCTAATCATTGGGCGCAACTAAAAACGTTTTAAACATAATCTGTTTAATAAGTAGTTCAGATAATATCATTTTATAAGTATGTGAACTGCTTAATAAAATATCATCTTTCTATTTTATTATATATATTTACCCGATTTGTAAATAATTATCAGTTAAATGAATAAATTGCTGGTGTCTACAAAAATTATTCTAGTTGTAATGACAACAACTATAACTTGTTTGTTTCAGCAGCTCGTAGTTGTCTGAATTTTGAATTAACCTTAAACCGGTAAGGTATTCTCCCAGTAATTGTGAACACGCTGGTTTTGAGTAAGAAATGTCAATAATTGCCAAAAATCTAATTTATTGGCCAATTTTGAAGTATGCAGACTACATGTGTAGGTCGGAGTTGTCGGTACTTTTGCCATAAGTGTAGAGAATGTGCTGTCTACTTTCGGTTCCTTTTATGGTACCCAAATACGCTATAAGTACTGTAAAGTACACAATCAGCGATAAATAGAAAGTTTCTCATCCCATGAGCAGAGATGCATTTTCATACCCTGACTGATCTTCCACTGTGTTTGACTGTCTTTTAGAATCACCGGGTGTACACTAAACTTTAACATTTCTAACACAAACGAATATTGTATTTGAACTTTTTGTAAGTGAACCAAATCCCATAATTCAGCAGATTGAAAGTTTATAGGAAACTTTCAGTTCTTTATCTAAAAGTGTTTAATTTTATATAGATATAACTTCGGGAAACTGATTAATATAAAATCTAAAATCTAATAAATGGGATCTTTTGTATGTACACAAGTTTGTCCACTTGAGAAGATGAAATGGAAATTACCTAAGGACATTCATGATTCACATTTTTATTTAAAAATTCATAATTTTGCAAACTAATATTTTGATAGAAAACAAAAGAGTTTTTTGGTTAAGAGCTTGTGAAGAACAATAATAAATAATACGAAATGTATCAAGATTCTAACAATTGTTATATGACCTCCACACACATAGTCCAGTATTTTAGATAACCAATTTAGTGAGATTGATCAAGTCCCCAACCACAGATCACGTTTTCGCATCGTAAGTTGACGGCTCATTCAAAATACCATTTGATTGGGCTAGCCGAAGTTTGAACTGTTAAATTTTTTACACAATAAAATGCTTCTTTGAACCTTATACGGTGGCGGTAGAAGCGTGTTGTGGAACTTGTCTTCTTAGGAATTGGATTCCAATCGACAAGGGTGCATCGATTTCCTAGGAGTTTATGTAAACTATTTATTAGCGACACGCTGTATTTAATGTGATGCCACCCAAGGCAGAGTGAAATTTTTATGTGGTTAGTTACCAAACCTGGTGTACAACCCGGCAAAGGGAGGGCTTAAATAAACTCATTCCAACGTTACAGGTTGGACAATTAGCATGCAAACAAAAATACCTAGTAGAAGCAAGAATTTAGATATAAACGTAATGATAAACTGTCACATACATATATGTATACTACATATGAATTTTGCTTGCCAAGATTTCTAGTCTTGGTTGGGGAAAATATAATAATTGCGATTTGAGATTGATCTTCAATGAAATGAAAATTTTACCTGGAATACGTTGCATAATTTGTTGGCGATAGATTTCATGTGCGATTTGCTGTTGCATTCGCAGGTCCACAAATTCATTCATGGTTATCATTTTGTACGTCTTAGATCATATATAGGGTCTAATTAAGCTTGAGTATCACTTGATATTTGTCTCAATTATTATGTATTCTCAGCAATAGTTGACAAAATATTTTTGGTTTGTATTTAACAATTTAATTACATATTTTCTAATCACTGTATATATGTATGTATGCATAATATTTCGTTACTTTATGTGAGTACTTTCATATAGCATTTATAAATACAAAACAATACAAAAATTAATTGGTTCACAACACATCTCCGCAACTTTCACAAATGAGCAATATGTCAAGTGATTTACAGTCACGTCGGTACTCTATTTGTTGGAAGGTATTTTTAACGCGATAAATATTGTATAGTTGTATATGTACCATATATGCAATACTTGTACATATGCATGTAATACATTATCGTTAGCAAAAGTAGTGTTAAATTATCGAAACTGCGTCTACATAGCGAACAAACTCAAACTCTTTGCTTTATTACAATATTAATTCGAAAACGTGTTAATGATGCTTATATCATTGACATCAGATCGTGCGGCTTGCGTCTTTTGTATCACAGAAAATAGTTATGCACCCTCTTACACTCGTTGTATTATGGTAAATATTAACACATGGTTATGTATTTTATATGTACATGCATCCAAATGTGTACATTACTGTTGAATGCAAGCTCTTCTATGTACATACATAAGTACAACCGCATAAATAAATAAAATTTTCAACGACAATCGCGTGAGGGCGTTAATTCAATTAGCTAGCTGCAGTGGCTCTTAGCATGATTTCAGGCCAATAATGTCTTCAAGGCATGTAGCGCGCGAGATAAAGCAATTATATGACAATAACAGAAATGATATTTAAATAGCCGGTGTCACTTGGTTAATCAAATTGTAACGCCAATGGCTTAGTATGAGAATATCTGGGACACACTGCGACACACAAACGATTCAATGTACTTTCAAATACACGCTGGCACAAGTGTACGACGTGTTATTTCGCCGGTAAAAACTCGTGCCCGTCCCTACCAAAGTTGACTTTTAAACTGAGTAAGTACTACTAAGTAAGTTTTCGCATGCAATGCTCGCTTAAAGAGCTTCCAAGCCACTGAAGGTCGGAGTAGCTCACAGACGGTTCCATTCAAGGGAACATGAATCCACAATGTGCAAATGAGCGTACAAATAGTTTAACACAACCTGAAGTGGAGAATTTTGTTATACAACTTTTAAACACTGAGAGGCAAAGGTTGTCACTTACATAGGTACAAACATATATTCGAAGCGAGAACTAAACTGCTGTTTTTCACAATATTTGCTTTCTCCACTTCCAATGCTCCACGCTCACACGATCAGTGAAACCGAAAAATGCGAGAGCGATTCGAGAACGTGTTGAAGCGGAGAGATGGCGAAAAGTGATTTGATTGGCTGTTATGACTGCAAATTGAATTACTGTGAGTGCGCGTGAAACATTGTGTTCGAACTACAGTTGGCTTGGTGGCTTGTTTTTGCCTCCATTTTGAATTCCCTTCTTGCTGCTGGTGGTGATATTGACGCTTGAAGTTGTTGACTTCTGACACCGTCAATCCCATCTCCGTTACGCTTTACGTGTTTACCTCTCTTAATATCACTCCATCGTCATTATCTGACTCCTCCCTCTTCAACAGCTGTTATTGCATTTTATTTTGCAGTATTTTATTTGCAAGCATACTGTATGAAATTTCAATTATATATATACATACATATACGAAGATACTTATGAACATAAAAATGTCTACAGGAAATAGGAATCTTTTAAATAGTCAAAATTGCTTTCCGAAAGATGACCACTACATATTAACACACTTTTTTACATCGGTCTTCCAAAATACTGGTTGACGGTTGTCAATATCAGAATTGTCACTAAAAATTGTATATACCAAGAGCATACTATAAATATCTGACATGACATAAATATATGACATGCAAAGCATTACAATGTGTAAAAGTCGAGTAACTTCACTGCACGCGCTTCAACGCGTTGAGAGTCATATATGTATATCTAAATACTCAAAAAGTTTTGACATACGAGCGCTATTTGTGTTGTTTACGGTAACTTAAAATATTCATCTCGGCCAAAAAATGGAATTAAATCGCGAACATTTTATCGCGTTTATTGTTTACAACTTTCGACGTGGATTAACTCAGCAGCAGTGCATAGATAAACTTAATGCAATTTCATCAAAGACCAGTTGTTGTTGTTGTAGCGGCAGAATTTTGTCAAATTTGTACGGTTAAAGACCAATATTTATCGATGGTATGGTGAATTCAATCGAGGTCATAGATCCCTCCAAGATGAATTTCGTGAAGGTCGTCCAAAATCAGGTGTTGTTGTTGTTATTGTTTATGTACACAAACTGGTAGTGTAAAATCGTCATGTGACCTATCGTGAGATTGAGACAACTGTAGGCATTAGTGGGACTAGCACACATTCAATACTGCATAAACATTTAAATGAAACAAAAAAATGTTCACACAATTTGTCAATCGACCATAAAAAGACTCGTGTCGTTGGTCGAGAGAAATATTAAAAAAATTAGATAGCGGTGCGTCGAAACACCGAATCGAAGATGGATCACTCTTCACCACGACAATAAGAGCTGTCACATATTGACTGAAACAACTGCATTTTTGAGAACTCAAAACATCGATTTGATGAGTCATCCGCCGTATAGTCCTGACTTGGCCCCGAATGACTTCTTTTTATTCCCGTACGTAAAAAATAATCTAAGAGGTCAACGTTTTTCGACACCTGAAGAAGCGGTTGATGTCTTCAGAACGCATGTTTTGGAGACATCTCTTAATATCTTAATCTTAATAGAGAATATTATTAAAAGCAATAAAGCGATTATCGATGATTAACATTAGTTGTTGTACTCTAATCCCGAAATATTAAAGACAACCCTCGTATATAGTTTATAAATTACTATCAAAAAATCTCCTGAACATATGTATGTAAATATTTCTTTTATTGTTCTGGAAACCTAATATAATCCTTGTTTTGAGTCAAATGTTATTCGCCTTTTAATGTCCTTTAGAATCAGTATATGTGTATATTTCTATATGTCTATGTAAAGAGGAAGATTAGTTACCCTCAAATGATTAAGAAATAAAAAATGGTCAAAAACCCTAAACAGCCAGTCAAGCGGAAGTACACCCACCACTGCAGATAGGTAAATCCGGAACAATTAGTACCGCTGATGAATTGAAATGTTTATGTGGCGCGCCTTGTAGCCTGTTGATGGTATGCGCATATACGTATGTATATGTATGTGTATGAGTAGATACAAAATTATCTATATAAGTATGTATGTTGAATCGGTGTCGCCCGGAAACCATTCAAAGAAATTAACAACAAATTACTCTCGTCTCAAAGACAATCAATGTAATAAATGTGTGGGCAGACTAGTAAATATCCGCATTAGATAAAATGTTCCTCTTTGTGTGTATATACAGGGTGGCTCACGAATGGTGCTACAAAAACAAACCGTAATAACTTTTTTTTTTAATTAATGCATTACATCTAATTTTCTTTTATTGTATAGCAAATTTTATTTTATATAATAAATAATTTTTGAAAATTATAGACCGTAAAACCGACACCTTATTACAAAATTATTCATAGCGGCCTAAAGGGTTGAAGTTAAAAGTTAAAAAAATCATTCAACATATTTAAATAACGGTGCCCATTGACAGCTACTGTTACCGTTGCACTATACAAGTACAAACACTCTTTGTGTTTGTGTGTGGTTTGTTTTTGTAGCACGATTCGTGAGCCACCCTGTATATATATTTATATACATATGTATGTATAGGGTGTACATTTACACAAATGTTTATGTAAACATACATATACATACTACAATTATGTATGCATCTATGTATATATATACGAATATACTTGTGTGTAGTAGCGCAGGGGTTTATCATAAATTATTTCTTATTATATTATTGCCGCAGTAGTTGTAATTGTTTAATTGAGCTTATAAGCCATTATTTCATTCATTATTATATATCATAGCGGACTATAAGTTAAATCATATATGAAGTCTAGACAGCTATTAAATTTTTTTATGACTTTATATTTCAAACTTACCATATAATTAAGAAACACTTATCCATAAAATCTTATTTGAATTTGAGGTGTGATCTATACGTTATTAAAGGACAAGTCCAACCAAGATAAACATCCTTGTAGAGGCGCAGTCATTCAATATAATTCAATATACACACGTAAGTGCCCATTTAATATCTTAAGATAGCTACATTTTGATCGATATTTACGGTATTCGACATACATACAGGTTGGTTGAAAAGTTTCTGCGCTCGAAATGATAAAATACTGTTTTTGGTACGAAATATATTTTTTATTCAATATAATCTCCCTTAACTTCAATACACTTATTCCAATGATACTCCAATAATTTTATACCAGCCCTATAATGACTTTCCGGAAGCTCTGCAAAGTACCCCTCTACGGCTGTAATAGCTTCTTCATTCGACGAAAAACGTTTTCCAGGAAGGAATTGTTTCAGGTTTTTGAAGAGCTAGTGGTCGCTGGTGGATGCTCAAGCAATTGGTACTTTAATTCGTTGAATTTTGTCATTGTTAAAACACCTATATGAGCAGGTGCATGGTTTTATTAAAATTTTATATTTTTGTGCTGCAAACCAGATCTTTTCTTACGTATTTTTTCATCCAACTGATCCAAAAGGCTGCAATAATATTCAGAGTTGATTGTTTTACCTTTCTGCAGATAATAAATCAACAAAATTCCTTTTGCATCCAGTTTTTGTTGAATTGTTAACGTGTGCGGCACTAACTTTCCAAACAGATTTTTCATATGTAATTCTCCAAGTAAAATATAAAGTACTCGTTCGTCTGAAATGCCTATGTCGTTAGCAATTACACGTTGCACTAGTAATATTATGAGCTTGCTCAATGATTTCTGGTGTGGGTGGGTGCGATTTTTGGTCATCCTTCGTGTGGACCGTCTTCAAGCTTAGTACGACCAGTTTAAATTCACCAGCCCACACTTCTAACAATTGTTCATAAATTTCCTTTACTTTTAAACCTTTAAAAACAAAAAATCTAATCACTGCGCGATATTAAATTTTTTCCATATAAAAAAATACTCTGACACGTCAACTTCAAATGGCTTGTAAACAAAGAATTAATTTACAGAATGACGTGTAACTTTGCACGTGTTGTCACGACAGATGTACCAACTTGAGAAAAAAATATTTGGTGCTGCTAGTGCTATTTTTTGGTGAGATCATCCAACTTTTCAACCAACCTGTATATGGTATAAAGCCAATCGCGAATTTGAAAGCCTTATATTAGGTATAACGGAGATAGGGGTAGTATTGACCCGATTTTATCTATTTTCGGCACTACCACATACTATTAAGAGAATAAAATGCTCCCTGAGTTTCATTAAGGTACCTCATCAAGTCATCTGGATGTTGGAAAATCCTATATGGGGGCTAAGGCAATTTTTCACCCGATTTTTTCCATATTCGGCACAAAGAATTTTTCATTGAGACAACTCACATATTGACCGATGTATGCGGTATAATGTAAACCGGTTAGTAAGAAAAGGTATAAGGGAAATATTGACCTGATTCAATCCATTTTTAACATACAGGCATACTAGTTATTATCAGTAAGAGACTCTCTCCGAATTTCAATAACAAATCTCACAGATTGACCGATATTTCCGGTAAAAAATTTACAACATACACTGGGGTATCCATATTCGGTATCCGGGGGCTTGGACAGTTATGGTCCGATTTTTACAATTTTTAGACTTGAGACGACATACATCAAAGTAGAACTACAAAATAATCTGTGGGACAATCGATAGTGTTATTCCCGTCTCACTATGGATAGTTTATTCTCATTATCGATGGTTTTTGCCTTTTCTAGACCAGGGTTACGAATATTTTAATTAAAATTTTTTTGTTTTTTTATCACGATGTTGGAAAAAATTTGTAATTCTGAATTAAATTATTTTTTTAATTCTTAATTATATACTTAGGATCAATCCTGTAGTGGGGATTA